ATATAAATGAAATGGTTGTTTTTGTGCAACTTTTCCTCCATCTCTATGTTTTGTGAAAATTGGGGTTAAGTGGTGATTTTATAAAATAAGTGTATTTGTTTGCATGTGGTGTGTTGCATGAGTCCGTAAGAGTCTACTGAGTGTGTTCGGAGGGTTGGTGTAGGCTATTGGCACATGTGGTTGAGTTAGAACACCCCATTTGAAAAATTTTATGAAAATGTATCAAAATAGGTTTTAGTGTCTAACTTTTATTAGAAAATGAATGTGAAACCTGTGCCATTAGTTAGAGCTAGGAGAAAGCTCCATGTAGACATTGAAACCACTTTAATCAGACGTCGGACGAAGATTTAGGACGTGTCGAAAGTTCTTTCCCTGTACTGTCAAATATAGCATTGATCTATCAAATTTTATGCATTGCACCACGGCACATGACGCCTCACACCATGGCACATGACACAAAGGAGACACGCCATGGCGCACGAACTGTAAGCCATGGCGCACGTGTCATTTTCTGTACATAAATGGTTTTTAAGTTCTAAAATTCATTATTTTAGGTCCTAATTAATTTTCAAGCTTTCGCTTTGTTTTCAAAACTCTAATTTGGAGTCCTTAAAACATGTTTGAGATTTAAACGATTAAAAATTGGGATTCCTTGACATTGGTTTTGAGAAATTCATTTATAAACCCTATAGTTTGATAATTCTTGTAAGTTAAGCCCTGGATTATCATAATTTAGAGTTAAGTATGATTTATCCTCAAGGAGGTTACAAGTGGTCAAATTGAGCATGTGATATTCTATATGTAATATTGTGTGTCAATCAGGTGCTGCTAATTCTTTTGGACTTAGTTTAAAACCTAAAGTGGTTTAATGAACCAAAGGGTTGGATTTGAATGCTTGGGGTACTTGATTTTAAAAGAAAAGTATCTTTTTACATCAAAGTGTCTAAATTAAGTTCAAATCATTAGATTAAATCTGAACTTATTTCATTAGTTAGTTTATTTCATAAGCTTCTTGTAAACGTCTGAATCAACTTGATCGAATGTCAAATAAGGATTTGGTGCACGTTAAAAGATCATCGTCACTATTGTAAATGATAGCTTGTTGTCATTTGTCAGCAGAAGGGCACTGTGGCGTATCTCCTTGTGTCATAATGCAGCCCCATTAAGGTGCCCTGATCTTTCTATGTTATGTGTCATAGCGCACATACACAAAGGGACTTCTACGCCACAATGCGCTTGTGAGGGAGAGTATTTTTATGATGTGATTTTCATTTTAGTATTTTTAGGGTTGTGTTCCCCTACCCTTCTACTTATATTTGAGCAACTTTAACTTAAAGTCAAGATCTTACATTTTAAAAATGATTTAAGAGTGTTCTGATAGTAGGTTTACTTAGTATTGTGTTTAAAATTTCATACTAACATTTAACAGTGAGGTGGGGTTGTAGAGTCTGACTCTCTCATCTAACCTGTACTTATGATTTGTAGTACTGGGTGTTTGGTAAAGCCTGTGGTTGCTTTAGGGGACTTTACACTAATAAACTTAAGCCTGCTAGTCCTAAAAAAGCTAACTTCAGGTCTGGACTCAATTGCGGCATAGTGAGCATTGACTACTTTGATGTTGCTAGTGTGGAAGGGGAAGACAGTGGTGATCTCCATGCAACAGCCATCAAGTCAGGTGTACCAAGTATTCGATGTGGTGCTACTATTGTCAGAGGCAGTGCTTGTACTTCGGGAAAGGCAAAAACACCATGAGCTACTTAGAGTCAATCAAATTTATGCCATCTTTCCTAGTGAACCTTATCAATTTCCTACTTGATTTGCACATGAGTTCATCAGCATCTTCCATAAAGATGAACCTGTGTGCTTGTTTCTAAGTGAACCCTTGTCAATCTTCTTCTAAAGTTTTTACATGTGCTACTCTTGTTTGCATGCCACATAAGTAGAGTTTTAATCTAGAGACTTAAAAAAGTTGGCATCCACCTAAGTATAGTTAGTCAACTAATAATCAAACTTTGATATGTTAAAATTAGACAAGATTACTTTGTTTTTGAAACGTCAAAGAGAATATTGTACTTTTTAAAATTTTAGAATATCAATTGTGCCACGTACAAAAATTTAAGAGTGTATTTGCACTTTAACTCAATGCAAAATTGAAGATACCTAACTTCAATGTTTATCACACTAATGAGCACCAGTGTAATGAGATTTAGACCATTTAAATTTTGATTTAAATAGTTTAAATTTAAAATATTATTTTATTATATATTTATTAAAATAAAAATAATTTTAATAATTTTTTTATTTTCAATTTGATCTAAATTTAATTTGAAGAGTCTAATTTAATATTAAAGTTTTTATAATTGCTACAAATATAAGTTATAAAAATTTTAATATTAAATTATTGAAGCATAAATTATTGCAAAATTCATGAGTGACTTTAATATATCAATACCAAAAAAAAGGAAAAGTATGCAATTGTTTTATCTGAAAACAATATCATTGATTTAGGGATAATCCCCTGCTTATTTTGTTTCTACATTTTAGACTTATGCCCAAATATTGGAGCTTTTGGTCCTTGGGGCAATTTTTCCCGGCTTCATTTGGCACCAATCCAATATCCAAATCACAACCTCCAAGAAATGCATGTACGTGAGCGAGACCGACTAAAATAATTGTCAATGTTGACTTAAGTTGTTAATTGATTTAATCACTTCGAATGAGTTCCACGCTATGCAACCAAACCTTGTTGCTTCTGAATAAAGAAAAATATTCAATTAACAACAATTACTTAATTACTAAATTGATTAACAGTTTCCTTTTCTTATAATATAGATTGTGACAGATAATAATAATTATCAATATAATGAAAACAATCCTAGTAATATCAAGACCAAAATATGGGATTAATTTACGTGGTGCGCTCCTATTTGTCCGTCTGTTGCTGGACATGATATTTAATTTTAAGTTCCTTTCAGACACTCTGGTTTTAATTTAATCACCTCTTCATCGTCAATGGGCCCATAAATTTAATTAATATTTCCTGTAGTTTCATAAATAAATTTGCGTTTGTCAGCTTATAAAAATACTGTAGTTGATAAAAATATTGTTCCAGAGAGACAGATTGGGAAGCGTGTATATGCAGAGAAAATTTGATGAAGGAACTTGTTCTGAGCATGTTGAGATTCGCACATGGCGATGGTGACAATATTCTTCTCGTCTGTAATGCGTCCAAATCTGAACACGTATTCGATCGTGTTGGCATTTATCGTATGTATCTATTGGTAATTTGCTTTTTAATTAGTCCTATTAGTACCTGATTAATTTAGCGACAATTCAATTTATCCTTCAAAGAACAATTTATTCAAACCACTAATAATTAAAATGGTGATTAGATGCACTGCTTCATTATAGTTTATAATATATGGCTAGACTATATATGATCTAATCACAATCACAGGTTAAATAACTGTGGTTTATAAATTCAATGGTCTGAATGTAACCATGGTTTGATTCCCGGTCTCACCGTGAAGGTGTTACATCAATCAGGCTAATCACACTTGTAAAAATCAATTAGTTATATATTGATCAATGAACTGTTTATTAGTTTAAATTAGATAATTGCCAGTTTGCCACAAATATTGTTGGTTGCAACTGTACACTTTCTTAAATGGTAAATTTTGTTCGGATTAAACACGCTTTTATTATAATAGTTAAAATTCACAGCAAGCAAATATACTCTGTTGGAATATTATTTATGGATTAGCATTAATTAATAAATCCAAACAGATTGATCTTTATGATTTTGTATGGATCGTGATATGTGGACCACACAAGTGAGCTCAATGGACAGAAGTCCAACCTACAATCCAATAGCCGTCAGTTATTTCCTATTTCTTAACTGATTGAGTTAGAGATAATATAATTTAATTATTTTAATTATATAATAATGCAGTTACCGATCTGATTCTTATATAAGTCGATCAATCAATAACCACTAAACATACGACTTATTTTATTCTGCTCCATTATCTTTGCACTCTCTAAAGACTCTGGGGACCAGTGAGTTGTGCATCTATCTACATTCGAGGTAATCAAGCTTTCTCAACCGCTCATGAATTCTTCAGGTATGATCATATTATTTTATTCTATCATATTCAATTATATATATAAATTGAGATATTGAATCAACACTTGGTATACTCATCATTTGAAACTAATCCTTACAGGGATAGGCTGCTTTATATTAAAGGATATGCTCAAATAAGCAATGGACATTGATCTACTAGAAAGAATTATGATCGTTTAAATGTGAAATCTTGAATTTAAATTTGTGTAAATATAGAAAATGTTATCAGAAAAGGTATATCCAATTGAGTCAGATAATATTCAAATCTCATATAGAAAGATATAATTATAGTAAAAAAAAGATATACTCAAATTATATGAATTTATTTCACTTCAAAAATATGCTCATTACTTGAAACTAATCGTGTGCTCAGTATTCTCGAACCCACGCAGGTAGATATAAACACTTTGTATTTTTTTTTTTTTGGAAAAATTAATTTTCTGATTCCTCTAGTTTTTTTTAAATGTTAAATTAGGTTTTTATAGTTTATTTTGTTTTAATCAAATTCTTATAGTTTGATCAATTAAATTTTAAATTTTTTTAAAAAAGTGAAATAAAAAATTTTCACATTTTTGTGAAAAGATTATATAATTTTAATAACTCAAAATTTATATAATTAAGTTATGTTTTTTAAATAACTTTCATACATATAGAATCTTCATAAAAAGTTTAATAAAAATATAAACATTGTATTAAATCAATTTTTTTTAGCCAAAAGCATTAAATCAAATTTTCTATAAATTTTAAAAGTGTCTTTGCTTTAGAAAAGCTAATCATTCATTAATAATTTTATCATTCAAGAACTAACATATCCAATTGATCAAACTATAAGGGTTTGATTGAAACAAAATAAACATAAGGAGCTAATTTAAAATTGAGAAAAATTAGAAGAACCTATAGATTGATTTTTTCCATTTATTTTTATTGAAGCAAAACAGAGACAAAGTCATATATACGATACATCTATCATCTAATGAGAGTCAAACCAATGGCAGTGACCACAAGAGTAGAAGGGAGTCCGAACTTGAGATGGTTCAAGAAGGTCAAATTGTAAGCAAGGTCTGGTGTTCTGCGAGCTTGCTCGCACACTATCAAGTTCGCTGCTGATCCTAAGAGGGACAGATTCCCTGCAACCGTGCTCACCCATGCTAAGATGAGCCATGCCTTCTTCTTTTCTTCACTTGAGATTGCAGCTGCTGATGCTGCAATCCTTGCTCCCAGCAACAGAACTATACATACCAAATAACAACACTCCATTAATCTCACATATGCATGTGCACATTATATTACAGCTAAGTATAGGCCATCTAGATTAGAGTAGACCAATGGTACATTATACTACAGCTTATGCCTATAGGGTTGGGCCCATTTGAGTGTGTGGATTCAGCTTAAATATCTTTTACAAAGTCTCTCTGATGAGAAATATGGAAAATATTATTTTAGAAGGAGATAATTAATAGCTATGTTACTTTTAGATTGCTTCTGATTGTTGGTTTCCTTTTTCAGCAAGTGGGATTATTTTAATTAGCAAGTGGTAGAGGTTGTGTCTCATGGAAAAAGAAACCTCATGTCTATGCTGAAATGTAATTTTGAGGGGGACTGAATGATGAATGAATATTAGAAAAGAAGTTCTGATTGCTCCCCCCCCCCCCCAATGTTTTGATTCATTCTCTCTTGCTCCCCCACTGTTCTGCCCTTCTCTCTCTGTATTCCTCTTCTCTTCTCCCTCTCTTTTCTCGTCTACTCTCTCTCAGTCTCTGTTTCTGCCCCCACTCCCATTTCCTTTCTATTTAAGCTAGCGTGAGTGTGTGTGTGTGTGTGTGTTGCATCACTCTCTGACTTTTGGTTTTCAACAGAAATGAAGATAAAATAATTTTCTTTTCAGAAACGTTAAGATGGATCACATTTTATGGCACAATCATCAACAATATTACTATTATGTTTTCATTATGTGAACTCAATGTTCTTTTCTGCATATCAAGTAACTATATGAGCAAAGGGCAATCTGAAACATAGTTCTTCTGTTCATGTATCCGTATATTCAGAGTGAATGCAGGCTCAATCCTCAAAGATGACTATCAACAGTTCCATATAAGCTGATCAGTTAAGATCCTAAACTCCCCAACCAATGACATAGAATCACTGAATTTCAGAATTACAATTCCGTGAAATTGTCAAAGGCTGAAAATTTTGCGAATCCTTTCTTCAATTTGTAACGGATTATCTGTCCCACAAAAGCCCATTTCCCGTATGAAATTAACTCGTCGCGGCTCAAAATTGCCCAGTCAATTACGTTAGGTTTCTAAATTGTGGAGTCTAGCTCATTCTCAATATTTTACAGCAAGCACTTAAGTAGACACTACAGTAATAGTTTTTGTCTCATCCCTGTATGCTTTACTTTGCTATTTCTACAACCAATTTTGCCAGCAATAGTACTTATTATCCTGACAATGTCCAAGCCTACGCTTGAAAAAACTTAATCTGGAATTTAAATGCTTTATTAATTTGTACAAGTAACTCCTACTAACAAGTACCATATGTGGCCTGTAATTTATAATCAACAAGATTTTGCTTTTCCTTTTTAAATATTTGCCTCATTGAACGTGAAGAACAGGGAAATTGCTGGTCAATGCTAAACTAAAATGTGAAGCGTTCAAATTTTAACATGATTCAGGTGATATACCAGGAAGAATAAAGGTAAAAGTGAAAACATCAAAGATATGGAAAAATTGCATTGGAAGGAAATTTGTCAACGTACCTGTTGGTACATTTGAGGCCAAATTTGAAAGTATAATTATGACTATGGCAAGCACTGCTATTCCACTGGCACTATCTACTTTAGAATAGGGCTCCATCAATTCCCACAAAGCACTTGGAATTCCAGTTTTATTGAAGCCATCTACCGTGATAAACATTCCACAGAAGAATATCAAAAGTGAATATGAAACCTGTTCCAAGAGGTAAAATTAGTTCTCAGCCATTGTGGAGTGTTCGAGAGGCAACAAAATAGAGTGTAGCTCGGGTTTCTTACTAGTTGTAGCCTTTACCTTCTCTAAGCTTGGCCTAGCATCCTTGAAATCAAGAACTACCAAAGCAAGTGCAGCAGTAATTGCAGTCCATGACATGTTCATTCCCAAAAGCAAAGCAACTAACATTCCTAATGTGATAATGTAAACACAACCTTTCCAGACTACGCGCTTCAATTTTGGGTTTAAAATGTCATTTCCTTCGAAAAAATTTGTATCACTTGATCTATCTGCTGCTGCAACAGCCATTGAATGACTGTTTTCCTCCCTTGTCTGGGAAGTCATGCCCTTCATTTCATCATTTAATCCATTTGCGTTTATTGCAGAATCCACTACGTTGTTAGAGACCCATTGAATTTCACTTGAGCTTCCGCGGTTTCTCAGACTCTGAACCTGGGGAGAGTTTCGGATGCTAACAGATTCTAAATAGTTCGATTCTTGAGAGCTGAAGGATGTCAAGTGAGACATTGTGGCTGGAGAAAACCTATGAGAATTGACCTCCTCTTCTGCTACATCTTCCTCAGCAGCATCTTCTTCATCCTTATGAGTAGACAATACCTTCCAAAACATGGACAGAAGAATCAAAGCATTCACGACAATCCCCAAAAGCATAGCAGGAAGAATCCCAATCAAGAATTCTCCGAATGATATGCCACTCTCAACAGCTATTACCAGATTTTGGGGATTCCCTATTGGTGTTGCAGAGGACCCAATATTAGCACTTGAAGCAAGGGCCAGGAGTAATGGATGGGGAGGCAAATTATGCTGCCTTGCAACTTTCAATACAAATTCAGTCAAAACAACACAAGAGGTATCATTGGTGAAGAGAGCACTTGAGATAGCAGAAATCAGACAGACTCGACAAAGTAAGTCCTTGGCCCCTCTACTTTTCCAAGACAGTAACTTCCCCAAGTACTTGAACATGTCTGCTCTCTCAAGATATATACTCACAACCATTGTACCAAAAAGAAGACCCAGAATTGCTAGATCAATGGCAGCATAAGCTTGATTTGGCGATAGAACTTGAAAGATGACCATGAGCATGGCACCTAGAAGGGACCCAGCAGTTCTGCCTATGGGAAGAAAAGGCACAGCAGGGAAAACTGCTAACACCCAGAAGATCGCAAAGGCAATTGAACCGAGAATCACTTTTGGAATAGGAGCTAGTGCCATTATTGAAGCCAAACAAATCGAGTAAATTAGTTTCAACTTCCCAAAAGAAAAAACTTAAGAAGCCCACATCTAGCTAGGCCATTGAAAATAGCATGCTAATTAGAATTCGGTATGGGAGAATGAAATTCCCTGAACTTGAAAAGCGAGCATTTGACAGTTAGCAACTTAGCATGCATTCCCATCAAATCCAAAGAATGAATTCCCTAAGGTCCTCCTAGCTCCACCATTTCCAGGACCAAGATGCTTGATAATTTCTCCAGCATTTTCAGGACATGAAGATAATGGAATTGGAAGATTAAGTAGAGAGAACGGAAGAATAAGAGTGTGAGGTTGCAAAGAGGTGCTATTGGAGTGGTAAATATAATGGGATCGGGAGTGCAATTTGAATATTGAAAGACGAAAGTTGAAGGCTTGGCTGAAGGATCGGAAAGAGGGTGGCGAACTTTCGATTTTGGATGAAGGCCGAAATGACAACACAGGAGAAAAGGAACAGGATTGAACGAGAAAGAAATTGAAACATTAAATTTTTTATACAATTTTGGATTGTTTTCTTTTTCGGCTGAAATCTTGGACGATAGCGAAGTGCGCTGGGAAACTCCATGATTGTACCCTGGGACCTTCCTCCGTTGACTCCCTCCTTTGCATATCTAACCGTCTAGATTAAATTTGAATAATTTATATTTAAACTTTATTAGGACAGTTGAAATTTAATGTAGATGATTTAAATTTTTTTAATAATTTTTGTACATTTTTATTTTAATAATAAATTATTAAAAATAAAAAATAATCTTTTAACGCGCACTTTTTAAAAATATTTTTTAAAAATTAAAAAATTTAAATTTAAATTGTTTAAAAATATGTATATTCAATTTATTAAATTATAAAAAAATTTAAAGTTAAATTTCAATTATTAACACTAAATCTAGATTGTCTAGATTCATGATCCAATGAATTTATCATTTTTTATAAATATATAAATTTTATTTTAATATATATAAAATAAAAACAAAAATTTTAAATTTTAAATCTAAACCATTCATGTATCATCATTATCAAGGTGCAATAACGGTGGAGGAGAGGAAGTTAATGGGAGAGAACTCGAGTCAATCCGAAATTCCTAATCAAGAGATAATGCTTGGCGCATTTTCCAGCAAGATCAGAATCTTAATTCGTCATGTTATAACTTGTGAGGGATCGGTTCTTTTTATTAGACCCATCACTTTGGTGGCTACAACTTACAACTTGTAATCTGTCAAGACATTAAGATGGGTCAAATTGGTTCGGATAACTGGACTTTTAGGCCTAGCCCCAAGCCGATGAATTTCTGGGCGTGTCCGTGTGCTCCAATTTGGCCCATGAGCTAAAACCCATCATAATTCATCCAAAACCCAAATAATAACAAACAACTACTTTTTGTTTTCCTTTGGAACGGGATAGGACTGTTCGCGATTTTGCGCCCATGTATCAACGATCAACGGAAAAATTTCCTGGCTGAAAAAGCTGTCTTCAAATGATACACTCTTTGGGAATGGCTTCAGCAATTTCTACTTCCACAGTGTCATGTCCAATATCATCTACGAGCTCAAGGCCAGCGATTAGTGCAGTTTCGTCTTCAGTTATTTCACATTCTAAAACTATAAATTTCCATCTTTATTCATGGTTATCTCCACTGGATCGACGCCTTTTCTCGCCGTGGAATGGTCTAAAGCATCTGGGTATCTCAAGTGAACCGAAATCTCTCTGTACAGGTAAGAACTCTCATGTGGAGCTCTCGTGTCTCGGTTTCTGTTTCCTCTGTCGCTTATTCTGGAATTCCCTTTTTTAATTGTATTTTTCGCTGATAATTTCTTGTTTACTTGAGCGAATTAATGGTGGTACAGACCGAAGGACTAAGGGCAAGGTGATTTATGCATCTCTTTTCGGGGTTGGAGCTCCTGAAGCTCTGGTAATTGGGGTCGTGGCTTTGTTGGTATTTGGTCCTAAAGGTCTTGCTGAGGTGAGTTTTATACTTAGATGAGTGTCAACACCACCATCTTTTTCACTTTCTCGGTAATTTCCTCGTGTAGTAACATTTCAGTTGCTTATCTTGGATTTGCAATCAACTATATCACTATATATAATATAAAATCCTTAGCAAGGTGTGCTGTTGAAATGCGGTTCATTCTTCAATTAATCAATTGCAAAGTGTAATACCAACTTGGAAATAATATAATATTCATGACCACAAGAGTCTGAATACTCTGCTATAAGTATTGAAAGAGATTGTAAGAGAAGAGAGAATCAGAAGAGAGGAAGTGACCTTATGCACAATGTCACTCATTTGCGTCATTCTTGTGCTACTACACTACTACACATAGTGGAGTAAAAAATAGTGTAGGAAGATAGTTTAAGACAGTAAAGAGAGAATGGATACAACAACAGTACCAGCAATGAGTCTTATTCCACTAGATAGGATCGACTATATGAGTTGTATGACGTCATTATGCTCTATTATTTACTAAACTTTTAAGAATGTTGTTAACTAAGAGGTCTCGATCAACAATTTTTATAAGTGTTTTCTTTGGTATTTCTCTGCACCTTTTCACAGGGTTTAAAATTATTTGTTTCACTCTCCTCGCTGATGCATCCCACGATCTTCTTCGTACATGTTTAAGCCATCTCAAACAATTTTTTATCATTTTCCCCTTAATGAGTGCTACACCCACTTAGTAAAGATAGAATGGGTACATAGACCTCATATACACTTCCACTACTTGCTGTCACTCTTACCACTCGTATCATGGGTTATGCAAACTGATGAAAGAATGATGAGCTGGTAGATTTCTTGAGGAGAAGTGGGAAGCAGGCCAGAGGTCTAGGGAAGTTGAGAGAAACTGACACATCAACATTTAGAAAACTGAACTTAATTAAGATGGGCTAACAAACTCTATGGCATGAATAATGGGTTTTCTCTGTGGGTTTAAGGATCTAGAAAGAGTTCATCCAAGTAAAACAAGACACTAAAAATGGTTAAAAATTTGAAAAAAATGTTATATTATTTGAAAATTAACCCCAAGGGAAAAAAAAAAAAAAAGACTATTGTGCTAACGTTTGACCTATAAATTAACTATCCAAGAATAATAATCATATAAACAGTGTGCCATTAAATAATCAAGTCATAAAATACTTATGTTGTTTGAAAGTGAATGAATAACAACATAAATAACACTCTTTAAAGTAAATAACTGATCTTCCGATTACTTTGGAGTTGTTGGGCTGGGATTTGTGGTTCTATATGATTATATTGTTCTAAATTATTAACTTCATAGCTATGACTTTATTACGATGGGCTTTTAGGGCTATCTGTCTATGAAAAATAATTCTAGTGTATGCAAAGGTGCCCGACTTTGACCAAAACAGTGTCGTCACCTGACAGGGTAACATGCTTAGACGTCTCCTGGCACCTCTTAAGGACCTTTGACAACACTGCTACAGAGTTATCTTTTCATTTTGTCTAGAGGAAAGGATTGAACTCAGCTTCAATACCTTTAACGACCAATGAGTTTGCAATAAAATGATTAAAGATGAGAGATTTACTCATACTCCAGAGAATTTTGTAGGGCAGCCTTATAAGTCGGCATTTTCTTACATGATAATATACTCAAATGATTACATTACATGAGATCTGTTTAAGATAATTAGGGTTTCCTTGATATGATATTCCAGCTTTCTGAAATGTTGAAGTTGTATATATCCAAAACCAGAATCTCAACATCACCAGAGTATCCCACGTCAATTAAATTAAAATTGGATACATGTGTTGAGATAGTTTTACCTAATCTTTGTCATTTTTGTTGTTGGTATTAATTTTGTTTCTCTTTCTCCACTTGACCCCCTCTTCAAGCATCCCATGAAAAGGGCAGTATGATTTGATCATTCAAATTACAATTGGATACAAGTGTTTGGAAATTTTGAAAATACTTTTGTTGGTGGTTGTGGTGGTTTTCTCTCTTTCTTCTCTTGGACCCTTGCTCTTGTGCTGAGACATCCAGCTGCAGGTTGCCCGAAATCTGGGGAAAACATTGCGAGCATTTCAACCCACTATTAGAGAGCTTCAGGTAGGTAAAACATCTTTAGAAATGAAACCATTGGGCTGATTTCAGTTGATAGATGCTTCCTTGTTATTACTCTCTATCTTTGTTGCCCCTTCAGGAAGTTTCAAATGAATTCAAGAGCACACTTGAGCGGGAGATTGGTCTTGATGACATTTCAACTCCAACGCAGAACATGTACAGATCCAATGTACCCAACAATGTCACTAGCTCAAATCCATCATCCACTGTCGATGCCAATAATTCTCAAGTTGCAGTTGACTCCAGTGAGTGATCTAGTAACTGTTTAATGTTTATCTACTTATAAAATGAATCCTTACTTGTAGTTCATTGTTTTCTCTTATTGGTAGTACTATACTCTGTATGCAATAAGGGTATATGACATTTATAGACAAGTTATCATATTTCTCAGCTAGCTAAACACCCTGCGTTGTGATTAGACACATGTTTCCAATAGGTTATCTGCTCTAATATCATCCTCGCCTTTGTTTTCTTTAGTTGGGAAAAAGAAACATTAGATTAATCTAATCCGCTTTGAGAAAACTACTGGCAGGGGTTCCTATTTAATATTTAATCTTCTCAATAATCTTAAGTCTTCTTCAAAAAGACCTTATAATTTAATTGAAAATTTACTTGTTTCTCAGAATTATATTTCCAAGAAGCCTTAAAGGTGGCTATTTGTGTGACTCTTTCACTGTAAGCTCGGTCTGTCTACTTGTTCTATCCTATCAAATATGAATAAGGCTCCAGGAACTGCATCCATCCCAAGAGGTCATGAGGTCATCATTGAAACCAGCAAAACTAACAAACTCAAGAATTTTACATCTTTCCTATGGGATGTCAAAAACAAATGAATGTCACGTTGAAAGCCTAAAAATATAAATATTGCAATAGATGAGATAGAGAGAAGAAAAGGATAAAATACTTTTGGTACTATGTTTGTCTCAGCAGTTGTGCATATTCTTTTTTTTTTTTTTTTTTCCTTCTAACGCTTGGTGCTTGCTTCCTAGACTCGCAAAGCATAAGACTGAGTGTGCCTTCTCCTTTTCTTTCTAAAGATAAGTGTCGTCACTCATCTTGTGTAATTAACTCGCTGCTTTCAAAAGTTGGTTTTACCAATTTTATGATTAATCAAAAGATAATGCATGCAGCATGTTTCTTGTGTTCATCCCTTTTTGCCTCCCTTGCCTTTTGCCTTAAAACGAATCCCAGAATATAGCCCTTTTAAGGTCCTTGATATTGAGAATGTTTGTGCAGATCCAGATAGAGCTTACAGCGCTGAGGAGTACCTGAAGATCACCGAAGAGCAGTTAAGGGCATCTTCCGCCTTACAACAGGAAGCACAGGCACCCCCTCCTCCAGAAGGAGGCCAAATTGAATCTCAAATCCAGCCTCCTGGTTAGTCATTTTCTGATAGCTGTACTAGTTCTCTACATTCTTCTTTATGCGTTCCAATCTTTCCTCTGATGTGTTTGGCTCAATTTGGGATATTATAGATGCAAGGGAATCAGCCATTACTGAGCCGCCGCCACAGAAGCTTGAAAGTGAGACATAGCCGCTCTTGGGTTTCATAGGCAGTTAAACAATCTCTTCATCCGATGTTCCAATTATAAGTATAGTACCCTGAATGTGGGTACTATTTCTGGATTATGTAGTGGTTGGGACAAGAAATGACAAGAGTCACTCAATTTTGCTTTATTTTTGTTAACTGATTAAATTAGGATTCTCCACAATCATCTAATTATACATTTGAAAAAAGAGTGACCCAAATGCTTTCTCTTTTAACTGATATAATCATTGTCTTATAATTAGGTTAAGCCACTTAATCATCCAGAGGTCTATATAAGCCGCTCATGCTTACCATAAACTAATTATATATCAATATTAACAAAAGAAAAGGGTCCATTTTTGGGATGCCATCAGAGTGACAGAAAGTAGGACACTTCAACTACGAACCCCTGCATTTGCCACCCTTGAACCACCCCTTACTTCTTGAAAATCCCAACTAGTTGATCATAGATCTACGATATTTCAAAAAAAAAAATCAAATTATTCCTCAAGTTGTTTTGCCTGGATTTAAAATTTTTTTTTGAAGGATTATTAGTGTGTGAAACTGAGATTTGCCACCATGCATTGCTGGTAGAAGCTGAGATATAAAGCAGACTCACAAACTCCACCTAATCTTCTCCACATGTGATTCATTTGATTGTGAAATTGTTTGCCTCTTTTCAGCAATCACGAGACCATTAAAGAGCCGGTGGATTTAGGTGAGGGTAAAAAAACTAGATAAATAAATTGGCCATGCCCTTGGCACATTAACATATACTCCTACAGCATGTAGTGTGTGTATATATACACTTATTATAAATAGTATCACAATCCTATATTTGCAATATCGTTACCCCCCCCCCCCTACAACCAAAATAAAAAAAATTACTGTCGCTAGCCTGATTCTAATCGAGTTAATTTGATGACATTTTGAAGCATTAACGATCAATAAATAATAGTAGTTGGCAGTTAGGACACTGCTAAATCTGGTCGAATGAGTTATTCTTAATTTGGATTGTGAAATTTTTTCTATTTTTCATATTTCATATTGTTGGCATAAAAGTTGCTAGTAAGTTGAATGAATAAATAATGGTCCCAAAATTTATGAGGCAAGATGTTATCCAATTGACTGAAGTGGGTGGGAACTGGAAAGCACATCAATTTGGTTTAGGTGGACTGTGATATTTATCGGGATTTAAACTCTCTAGAATTGAGATTCCTTAATTTCTATGAATTTTTTTAGTATTTTTCTCATCTATTATTTCATAGAAAATATAAAATCTTTTTTTTTTTTAAAAATTTAAAATTTACAAATCTTAATTTCAAAAAATTTAAATATTATTTATTGCTACCGTGAGATATCGATCTAATTAAACGTTCCAAAATAATGCTCACTAGCACACACCAAAACCAGATTCCTTGCAAAAGCACCTTTCAAGTTTCAACTATAAATAACGGCATTTATCACCCTACTCTACTCTCATTACCTCCTTATATAGAGCTGTCCCCCATTGATACTTCTCCAAATCTAGTTTCTCGTTGATAAATTTCTGTAAAATAAAATCTAAAAAAATACAAACAATTTTAAGATGTGATTACTGTGTAAAAAAGTTACATAATAGAACACATAGTATTAAATTTGATGAAGGATTTTTTTTCTATAATATCATTCATTTCTAAAATTTTAGGTTTCTTATCATCAAGATATTTTATCCACTCATGACACAATTATAATTTTTTAGGCCCTGAAGATAATTTGAGTTATTGAAGTTCGTTGTATATTTTGCAAGGTTCGACGAAATTAACTTTTCCCCTCTTTCTTTCTTTAATTTTTGGCCTTGTATATTTGCTTGCTTGATTTGGTTATATTTGAGTCAAGCCTCCAGAGTGAACACAACACACCCCACACACACACACACAAATTATTCTCATATAGTGCCTTTTCTGGAATAAGGTTAACGAAAATTTGTCTGGAAATACAAATTTAGCATTTTCACCCCAAAATTCTTTCTTTTAGTCACCTCTAGCCATTTGATTCGAATTTTTGGGAATAATAGACCACACAAAGCGAGCCGATCAAGAGTAGAATTTCCAACCTCTCTAACAAATAAATAGCATAATTATATTGCTAAGCTTGGATTCTCTCATTTTTGCTATACTTAAAGAAATTTCACTTTCTTGTTTTCAACTTCATCATCTCCAATATCATATATAAATTAAAGACATTGCAAAATCATGCACCAATAGTTATTGCAGTCCAGGCTATTGATTACATCACATAAATTAAAAATTTACGCACTTCACGGCCATTGAAAAATTCTTAGGTATAATACAGTAATTATCATTATACAACATGCAATAGCTAGCCCAGATTTGTTTAAATCTTTTGAGCTATTGAATGTATTATATGCCACATTTTACCCAAGAATTTATCCATAGATAATACTAGTCTAATTAATATTGCACAAACTTCTACTACATCAACGAATCACAGCATTGATACCCAAAGAGCAAAACAGAAATAGTCAAAACAAAGCCGTTATCACGCAATAACGATCCTCTGCACATTTTTTTTTTTCTTGTAAAATCATTGTAGAGAATTCATCATAACGAGAGACATGAACATATATAAGAATGTGTATTAGATCAATCAGATCAATTTTGATCTGTTTATTTAATCGTTCATATCTCTCCAAATTCTACAATAATTTTACAGTAAAAAAAAAATACAGAGAACAAACTTGCATGTGAATTATAGGTACGTACATAGGAGTTTTAAAGGTCCATGAGGAACTCTTCGTCTTCCTCCAACCTAGCCATAGCCTCACTCTCCAAGGTCAGTTCCACGTCGATGCTCCTCCCTCCACTCTTGCCTGGATACAGATAAACCATTCCATCGAACTTGTTATTTGATCCACTCCTCACGTTCTCCGGCGATCCCCACCCGAAATCCACGTCGTAAACCTTGAACCGCGGCGAGCTTCCGACCGCCACGCAGTTCACTCCAGCATCTTTGAACTGGAAAATCTTCGGTGCGCTTTCCCACTCCTTGTTCCGCTCATCTATGGCCTTCGCTGTGTGTGCTTCTATGGCTTTCTGAATCAACGACGCACCGAATTCCGGCGGGCTAGCAGACAACAACCCGGCTGCCGTAACGGTGAATATCGCCTGGATCAGGTTTCCAAAGTAAGTCTCCGGCATCGGCGGGTCTACCCGTTTCCGGCAGTCGACGAAGACAGTGAAGACGGTGTAATCTTCCGGCCTGAGGTTACGTGCATAGGTTACGCGACGCCAGATATGGACAGAGAGGGCTTGGAATGTGGAGAATGGTTTTGACCCGTCGGATGGGAGTCTTTCGTTGACCGCTGACTTGATCTTGTCGATTGCTGACTCGGAGAACTTGAAGATCTTCTCTCTGAGAACCGGAGGTGGTGGGGCCTGCTTAACATCACCGTTGGACTTACCAGCAAGTGGGTCCGCAGATGGGAGCGTGAGGTCGAGCTTCACTCGCGTGTTTCGCGCCTTGGTTCGCTCCAAGAACGGTGCTGCGGAGACTGTAGGTGAGCCGCAGCAGATCGCGGCCCACGAGCTCATGAAGTGCCACGTGGAGGTTCCATCAAGGACCGCATGGTTGAAGGCGCATCCCATCGCTAACCCGTCCTTCAGCTTCGTTAACTGTAATCGAACATTCAAAACAAGCAATCAAGTGCTTGTTTACTTTCACTTTGGAAATAATTGAAACTATAAACTGAATTAATTAGCATTAAGAACCTGTGACAACTAATTACTCGCTCCGTTTTATACATATAAAAAAATTATATTATAAAAATTTATTAACTATAATAATTATATTTAAAGATAAAAAAAATAAATTAAAATATTCTATATTAATTATTTTTTATTAATATAAATTATGATAGATAATTTAAAAAATGTATAATAAATAGTTATTGAAATATGTGATAATTAATTACTCACTCTGTTTTTATATATAAAAAAATTATATCACAAAATTTAAAAAATTTTATTAACCATAATAATTACTCACTCCGTTCCAAATTATAATACATTTTTAGATAAAATTTTATATATCAATAAATCTTATTAAATACATCTAATAATCTTATTTTTTTAAAATAAAAATATAAACTTTTCAAAACACCCATTATTTAATATAATGAAAAAAAAGTGATAGAAATTAATTATAGAGAGAAAAAATATAATATTAAAATTAGAGTATTTAATAAAATATTAATATATTCAAAATGTCTTATATTTTAAAAAAAAATTCCTTCAAACGTGCCCTATAATTTAAGACAGAGGGAATATATCTAAAAATAAAAAAATTAAATTAAAATGTCTTATGTTAATCAATAATAAATATGTGTTAATTATTTTTTGTTAATATAAATTAGGAGGAATGATTTGAAAAATGTGTAAGAAATAGTTATTGAAATATGTGATTTTACTCATGTTAAAAATAATAAAAAATAATAATTTTTTTATAAATAAAAATGGAGTTGTATTTGTTAAGATGGCCTGTGAATGGAATGATTCATGGGGACCCAAAAAAGGGTGGGCCCATAGGCAAATGTCCGAGGCAGCGCCCACTTACTTGGCTGAAGAATGTAATGCTGGGACGAGTAACTTACTCTTCCGGCACTATTTATCATTTATAGAAGGAAAAAAAAAATTAATTTTGATTACATTTTTAAAACATTTCATTATTTTTTACATTCATATTTATTTTTTATCATATTAAATACTATAAAAAAATTATTAAAAATTATTCTTTTTATCTTATTAAAGGGTATAGGTGAAAATTTTATTATTTCCTCCGATTTAAAATATAAGTATTTTTTGAGTTAATTTTAGTTTAAAATATAAGCAATTTAGTACATATAAAAATTATTTTTATTATTTTACCATTTGTATTTATCAACTTAGATGATTAGATCATTGTTTAAAGTTATCGTTTATTCCCTCGATTTTAATTTGTAGGAAAAACTATCATTTTTTACTTATTTTTTATATAAACAAAATAACCTATTTTAATAAGCATTTATTATATATTTTTTAAATCACCTCTCATAATTTTCATTAATAAAAAATAATTAATGCATGCTTATGTTAATTAAAATAGAATATTTCAATCCAATTGTTTTATTTTTAGAGATAGTTATTATGATTAATCAATTTTATTAAACTATGTGATACAATTTTTTTTTCTAATATATAAAAATGAAAGGAGTATTCATCAAGAAGAACATTGGGAGCTAGGAGTCTAGGACTAAGAGTAAAAATAATAATAATATATATTTTTTAAAAAATGAAGACTTATTGGTGTGAATTTGTTTAAAAATTTGTTTATATTTTGGATCGAAGAGAGTAAATTTTAAAACATAATTAATAATGTTTAAATTTTTTCTTAATTTCAGTTAAAGCTAAGAATTCAAGCGGGCTTGACCTGTTCGGGCTAGAGCAAACCTGAATAGGCCTAATTCCCTAAAAAACTTAAATAACTAAGTTCAACCCAAATTATTTCAAGCTTCGGGCGGCTTGAATATTCAAATTTTATTTTAAAATTATTTTTAATTAATTTTTTAACTTTAAAATTAATTATTTTATTTTATAAAAAATATAAAATATATATTTTTGATACTTAAATAATGTGTGGGAATCAAATATATGATATTTTAGCATAAATAACCTAAAACTTAAAAAATTAATTAATATTTATTATATCTTATATATTTTTTAAAAATAAACTTTTTGATTTGGGTAAGCCTAAATGGGCTCGAACATAAAAAAATTATAATCTTTTAAAGTTTGATCCTAAACTTTTTTAAATAGATTTCAGTTAGTTCATTAAACTCGACTCGAATTATCAGTTTTAATTTTAATAAATTATGTTAAAAGTTATTTATAAATAATAGTAGAGGCGTAATAAATATGAGAAGCTACCCTCTGTTCCGGTAATAAATAATTATCAGAACAATACACTCAATCACTCATTATTAGCATTACCAGCCTCCACCCTTCAACATGTCAATATTTCATTCCTATGAAACGACATCTAGCCTCACATTGAGGACTAAAATTGGAAAACACAACGCATGTATGATATATCAAAGTTTTGGCACGGTTTCTAATTCCATGCAATCATTTTGCATTGTACGACTATTCCTTACCCTTTATATAATTGACTGATCGTACTTTTTTTTTTTTTTTATGTGTCGCTACAAAGCATCTTTTCAATTAAAAAAAAAGAAAAAAGAAAAAAGAGTTACCTGGCACGTACGTATATAGCATATCTTAAAATCTTACTTCGACAATTATAGAAGAAAAAAAATCATGTTGAATATGAAAGTTCACGATGAAGCTGTTCCAGTCAGTCAAAAAACCACTGATTACAGAGTTTTTGTCACCCCCCACGTTTTTTCTTCTTTACGAAAAGTATGTTCCATTACCCATACGTTATGTAATGTTTGAAAAGTTGAAGATCAAATTGAACTTTACCCTTTCAGCCAGCCCTTCCAATTTCTTCATCATTTAGAATATTACAATATAAAAAAACTTTCACATTTAAAGATTAAAAAATGAATCATAGATATATAAATTTAATAAGTATTTAACCAAATAGTTTAAACTATTTGATAAAATATAGTATCTTTAAGCATATTTAATATAAAAAATCTCACATGATATCATGAGTCATTCGATTGGGAGACTAAAAAACAAAAAAAAAGAGCAAAAAGAGAAAAAAGAATGAAAGAATGAAAAAAATACAACAAAACATTAAAGAGAGAGAGAGAAGGAGAAGAAAAAGAAGAAGAAATTAAATAAATGTGAGTTGTAGAACTAAAAAAATATAAGCCTAAGCAACAAGAAAAAAAAGTTGAAAATGAGAGAAAGAGAGGAAGTAGTAGAAAGAATATTAAAATATAAAAATCTTAGATCTAAAAATTAAAAAATGAATTATAGATATATAAATTAAAAAGTATTTAGTTAAATGACTTAAACTATTTTAATAGAGCATACTATCCTTAAACACGTTTAATGTTAGAAATGTCACACGGATAACCAATTTTCTGTTCCTATGGTCACTCACTAACGAAAACAGAGCAATCCCCTAAACCAAACGTTATTTGACACCAAAAATCAGTACTTGTTCTGTCAGAATTCACATGAACAAATAAATCAAAGAATGAGCAAATTAAGTATGGAAAAATTACCTGAATTGCCAACAAGGGCCTGTGCATGCCTTCCAAATTGAGGATCCCAGTATAAGGAATGAGCTCCTTCAAAGTGTTTGTGCTCTCTGCAACGGTTAGATCCGCCACTGAAACGTCAGCTTCGGCCACAGCTTGAACGACCTCGACACCAACAACACCACCGTCTTCTGCATCATCTTCATCATTGTACTCAACTCTGAAAACCCCTTCTTCATCCTTCCCAAGCTTCCCAGCAAGCTGATAAAACTCTTCAAGCACCACACTCAGACCTTCTTTCAGCTTCTTCACCATCCCCTCATAGTCATCTCCTTTGTAGAACAGAAGCTTCTGGTTGTAGTAGAAGGCCAAGTATGGGAGATCGAAGGTGACGAGTTGACACTCCTTCTTCCCCAGCTTTTCCCTGGGCTTCACGTGGCTTTTCTCTAAGATCTTCAGCTTCAAGAGCTCAGAAGCCATTTTTTGTTTGTTTGGTTGCAGAAGCAGGAAGGTTAAGGAAATGAGATGAATTAACGATGGGGTTTGAAATTTGGAGTGATGAGGTTGCTGCGTGGAAGGGGGTTGGCATTTATAGGAGCTGTTGCCTCTCGAGCATTGGTGTGAGGCATTTATTGGATTTATGGGAACGGTTGTGACCAATTAATAACCCTCACACTTGGTTATGGGGAAGTTGAGGCTGTGAAATATTAGTATCAATTTCTGAGTAATTTAATTGTGACCTACTAATAGTTGAGGAACACTACACCCCTACTATTTCCGGTTCTCATTATAGGATAAAATTAATTAAATTTATGTTTTTTAAAGAGTAATAATTAATATCTTTAAAATTATACTATCTACAAATTATAATATAAGTTATGATTAACTAATTTATCTTTTATAAAATTAGTTAAAATTTTTATTTTCTAAATATTTTTATATCTTTTTGTAGATAATATTTTTTTTACATCTTTTTAATTGTACCATTGAATGAAATAAATATAATATTTAACTTCTTTAAAATATCCTTATTAATTACTTGAGTAAAATAAAATATTTTGACTAAAATTACAAAATTAAAATATTTTGACTAAAATGCTCTTATGATTAATCCTTCATTTTTTGCTAATTTAATGATTTATCATCTAATGAAGGGTAATTAAGGAGAGATTTATACCCCATCCGCTCTATATTATATGATATTTCCTCTATCTCAAATTATAAAATACTTTTAGAAGAGATTTATCATCTCAAAATATATGACATTTTAACAAAATTAAATTTTAATTAAATAGGCTTATTTTAATATTATCATTTCCTTCTTTATTTAATACAAATTAAGTGTAGATTTAAAGTTAATAAATGAAGAATTTTAAAAGTTTATATCTTTGTTCTAAAAAATAAGATTGTTAAATATATTTAATGAGATTTATTGATATGTAAGATTTTACTTAAAAGTATTGTATAATTTTGGATAGGGTGAGTATCTTATAGAAACATATTTTGTCATTAATATAAGACACATTATATGGCATTAATTACGTTTTCCCAATGTTATCCCTCTTTGGAATAAATAAGACTTTAAAACTTTTCCATTTAATTAAAATAGTAGAGAGTAATAGAGTATGGTGTTTTCCTTTTAATCACATTATACACATCTATTTCTCCTGGTGTGACGTCTCCTCTTTACTCCTATTGACAAAATAAGAAACACCCATATGGAAATGCATAAAAAATTGCCTCATATCTTTTCTCATAATCGTAATGTTCAGGTTCAAATCACGTCATGAAATTCAAAATACACTGATAGTCCGATGCTTCAAGATCAGAAGTTCAGAACTGACCAGAGTAAATGCCAATATAATAAATAACCTAAAAATTTGGGAAGATCTTGATATTAGAAGGACCTGTTGACCTGAGGTCTCGCATAGTATGACACTATTTCTATATCAAATTATAAAATATTTTTTTAAAAAATTGATGTCTCAAAATATTAAATATTTTGATAAAAATAAAATTTTATTAATAAAATTTTTAAATATTACCTTTTTTATTATATTTTTTAATATTTTTTATAAATGAAATATTAAATAAAAAATATTTTTATAAATAAAGAATGTTTTTATAAATTTACATTCTTATTTTAAAAAAATAATATTGTAAAATATATTTAATAAGTTTTATTAATAAGTTTAATTTTTTCGGTAACTAACATGTATAATTTTATCTAAAAGTATTTTATAAATTAAAACAAAGAGAGTATTATTAGCTAAGTATTACAATTTTTATATTTGAAATAATAGTTTAGGAAACTACATTTCTTAAAACTTGAAACTTGAGAGTTGCCCGCCAGGAAAAATAAAAATCACACATACAGTTAGCCTTAACTTGTGATCTCAAATATAAAAACTTTAGAAATTAACTAATGCTGGTAATTGATGAGATGTATTAGTCTCTCTCTCTCTCTGGCAGTTTTATAAGAGTACATTTTTTTAACCTGGACAATATCATTATCTCAATTAATAAAAACACGTGGGGGAAAAATTAAGCTTTTCATTTTCAGTTATGATAGTTATTGAGCTGCTTAATCAGTTAATTAATGGTTGGCCAAAAAAATCATTTAATTAATGGGATTGATTAACTTAGACCAAACTTGATGAACAGCTTCCTGAATCAGAGAGAGGAAGCAGTTTTGCCCTTTCTCTTATTTTATGACTGTGGATATATATATAGAGAGTATAAAATATATTTATCAATATTTTACTATGACTTAATTACATGGGCCTCCCCTTTATTTTAAAAATACATATAAATCTTCATTAAAATTAAATTAAATTATATGTGGATGATTAAATTTTTATTCACCCAACCGTTAATTGATTGTTAAGGTTGACATTTTGACTTTTAAACATTTCATTTGATCAAAAGGCCCCTCTCTTTATAAGAATTTTCTAAAAATCTATATTTGCCAAAAAATATTTTTTTTGTGTACAATTAAAAAACATAATAAATACATTTTCAAATTTTTATTATATTATAAAATTGTATTTTTAAATTTTTATCAATTTGATTGAAAATTATTTATTCATTTTTTAAAATTGCTAAAAATATATTTTTATTCATCACATAACATAATATAAGTCTGAGAGATTACATAAATAATTTAAATTTAAAATTTTTAAACATGTTTTCTACAATGAAATTATATAACTGTCAAAATAATATAATTTAGGATTTATAGGATGAGGGGTAAATTAGTAAATAAAATTTTCTATAATATAAATTTTAATTTTAAAATATTCTTAACTAAGTTAACGGATCAGACTAAATTGTATGCCTTTAAAATAGAACAGCAATGTGTGTGATTAAGGCAAAACAGATTTTAGTTTTGTCTTGAATGAACCTCAACTGTTGATTATTTTATCAGGTACATCCCAGTTTTAGAAATGTATAATAATTCAGCTTTTTTAGAACTTATTCATCAGTCCCCATCAACATTTATTTGTGTCAACTGAAAATGTAAAACTAGTTTAAAAAACTGATCATCATGAAATTAAGAAACCACTTAATCATCGATGTAAAAATTATAATAAGGGTTGGGGTGAGATTTACGTAAAAATTCAGGGTTTAAATTTAAATCCTTCCCATCTAAGTATATGATAAAAAAAATTATAGAAAACTAAGCATCATTTTCGATTCCTTGAGGATATGGAAAGTGTCCCTGAAAAGAAGACAATTCCTTAAATAGTATCCACATTTTTTGAGAAATTAGTCATTTGACTACTGGCTATGAGAAATATTTGAGAACAAAAAAAAAACTGCATTATTAATTATTTTTGAATAATATATATAACTTATTTTATATCCTAAGTCGAATTCCCTTTGCTAAGGGAATTCTCCGTTGTCGCTTCACTGAGGTATGGTGTAAATTTAAATTTAAATGATTCAAATTTAATATTTTTATTTTATATTTATTAAAATAAAAATTTTAATAAATTTTATTACCCATCTAGTCAACTCAAATTTAATATATATGTTTTAAATTTAATATTAATTTTTTTATAAATAGATTATCCAGATATATTCTAGACAATACACTTTTAATATTAAATTTTTTTTATAATATTTATAGATAAATTTGAATCATCCATAATAAATTCAAATATATTTTAAACAGTGCACATTTAATAATAATTTTTATAAATTTTAATATTAAATTTAGATCATTTATATTAAATTTTGACTATCCAAATTAATACTCAGAATTATTAAAACTTTTATAATTTTAAAAAATTTATTATAGTAATTATAAAATAAAAAATTATATTAAATCTGAAATGGTCTTTTTCATGTGCAGTCGAGGGGTAGCGTAGGGATAAGAGGGCGGAACGAAAGATCAAGGGCTTCTCCGCTTCTTTTTTTTTTTTTTTTTTTTCCTTCCTTTCCTTTCACTCTTCCAATTTTCACCCTTCATTAATTTTGTAATTAAAAAATTATTTAATAAAATAATATAAATGACGAGAATTGTAAAAGTGAAGAGAAAAAAGTGAAGAGCCCCCTCGTCTAAACAAAGCCAAGTGCGAGTAACTAGATTATAAAAAGACTCACATTCTGGTTAATAGTTAAGGATAATAAAGTAATTTGACAAAAATCTTAAATGTCAGAAAAGATCAAACGACTTCAGAACTAAGAGTAATTAGATTATTTCATCACACCTTTTTATTTTATAATAGTCGTTTTATGTTTTTCATGCATATTAATCATTAATATTTAATATATCAATTTAGATGTTTAATTTCCTGTATCTATAACAATATGAAGTCAGGTTGGTAATGAGCTTTCGACGATGCTATAACTAAAACTTACTCTTAAAACTGTAAAACATTTTTAACTGAATTTTATTTTAATAAAGTAGTTAATTATTTTAAAATTAATACAGTATTTTTATATTTATTTTTATTTAATAAAAAATTTTACTTAAAAATAAATATAAACTGATTTATTTATTAAGAGTATTTTTTAAAAAAATTAATTATACTTTAAAATACTAAAAATATTTTATATTTTTTAATAAAAGTATGTATTTCTTGTACATAAAAAAAATTAAATTAAATAGTGAAAACGTGGCGGTATGACCAGTATCAGTGAATCCCCTGCCAAAAATAAACCTGAATAAGAGCTTTTAAAATGGTCCCTTTTCCAATTAGATAAGAAACCGAAAGTGGGCCTGCAACATAAATGAAATAATAATTAATGTGGGAAATGGAACTTGGCCCCCAGAATATAAAAGAGTTTGCTTGCACGCCGCTTGTTCTGTTGGAATTTAGGTGTGCTCCTTTTTAGTACTCTCCTATCTGATCCTGTTTATAGATTAAAAAAAATTAATTTTAATTCTATTTATAAAATATTTTATTATTTTTCACGTTTGTTTTTATATTTTTATCCTTATTAAATATTAAAAAATAATTTCTTATCTTTATTAGATAATAGAGATGAAAACTTATTAAATTTCAAAACAGAGTTAATAAAATTTATTTATTTTTTAAT